ATCTTAAAAAAAAAAAAAAAATTCCAACAACACAACATTATCATCACCAACAACCAACAATCATCAATAATTTTTTTTTTTCTTTTCCCTTCATCTTCTTCATCTTCAGATCCAAATCCACTAGGAAAAAAAAAAAAAGAGTAGAGAAAACAGAGAAAGTGGCGATCAGCGATACCCACCAACGATCACCACCATCACTGTCTTCTTCTCTTCCTCCTCCTTCTCTCTTACCTCTTTTCTCTTCCCCTTCTCTTCTCTTCTCTCTTCTCTGTCTCTCTGTCTCTCTTGTCTCTTGTCTCTTCTCTCTCTCGTCTGTATTCAAAAGCAAAAAAAGGGAAAAGCAAAAAAAAGGGAAAAAAAAAATCCAAAACGACGCCGTTTTGGGTTTCGAGCCGATTCGGGCCAATAATTTTCGAGCTATCAAGTATTATTCTATTGACTTTAATACCAATATTATTTCTTTCTTTATTCTAATCTTTGACATTATTAATAATCCTATCTTATTAATAATCTCTCACACATTTTTTTATATTAAAATTGAGTTGAACCTACGTGACCACATGGTAAGATCTCGCACCACATTTAGTAGAGCACAGGATCGCTTTACAGTGTCAATATAAATATTTTAAAAAATATATTTCGTTTGTGAATTTGAAAAGTGACTTAAAAAAGGAAAAAAAATATGTGTAAAATATAGGTGATAGTTATATTTTCAGAAAATCACATACAAAATCATTCGGTTAATCCAACTGAATAACCAATACACTAATCCTATAAATTATTACCCCCCTCACTAACCTTAATTGTTCTATTTTTCTCATTCTTTTTCTTCTTCTTTTTTTTTTTCCGTGTCTATTTTTCCCATAAATTACTTGTATTTTCATGACTTCGTAATTTTTTTGAGTTCATACCATTTTTTTATTGCAATTTTTCCTTTTTTTTTCTTATATATATATATATATATATGTATATATCAAATGTTCTCTAGAAAAAATGTAGACAAAAACTGCAAAAAAAAGAAAACTTGAAGTTATTTCCACAAGAAGTTTTAATTAATTCTCTCTATAGCAGCATAAGTATATGGCAATCTAATTTGGCACACTTTCTATACTACAGCAGCTAAAATGGCTTTAGACATGCAATGTGAAATCAATACATCTCTTATCCAAGGATTCATTTGTTGTAACATTCACCACTTTCTCAAGTTGAAATTTGAAAACACTCGCACGCACAAAATGTAGTAAAGATTCATATCAAATTAGAGAAGAGTTTTCAGAAAAATGGAACCATCACATTAATAGCCAACGTAAATTGCAGTATTATCAAGAAAAAAAGGGCCAATTTTTTTAGGGCACCTAAAGCTTGAGAAACAGAAAGTAGGGCAAGACAATGTAAGAACATTGGCATTGGCCAAGTTAAAAGAAGAACAAAAAAGGCCTTTGTTTACCATCAAAGGGTTCATAAATGATAAATCATAGATATTGAATTAATGCACCATCTCAAAATTATTAACAATTAACATCAGTCTTGATTGGTCAGGATCAAAACAATTGAACAAAAGAAAGCTAACAGTAATAAGATCTTGCAAATTGCTTAACCAAAATAGACCACATAAATGTTGAATTAGTAAACATCAACTAACAAATTCAAAATAAATACAAACCAACAAGTTGATAACTAAAAAATAATTAACCAGATAACATTTCTTTTTCCCATTTTTAATATTTTAAAACATCATCATGTGAAGATTTATTTTGTTGGTAACTAAGATGTATTCATAAGCCCAAAGTTTTCTAAATCAGTCGAAGTATGGAATGATAGTGTGGTGGCTCTATTTAGAAGATACCCCCAGTCCAATATGACTTAAAGTTAAAGGTCAAGCCTAGACCCAAACCAACCACTATATTCTTAAACCCCAGGAACTAACCAATTCATTTGCTAATTTTCCAGGTCATAAATATCCCATAACTTGGGACCTTTAAATAATCCTTATCAGAAAGTGAATGCCAATGACAACAGTTCACTAAGTTGAAGACCCAGTATGCCAATGTCCCAAGGTCCATACCAAAAATTCAAAACCAATTTACTAAACAATCAAGCAGATCACGGGATAATAAGCTTGCCATCCCTACTTTCAAACGCCTCTAGAGAACTACGAACTTCAAGATTGTTTACAAAACTATCGAAAAAAGGCTGACTCCATGTACACACAAAATACAATGCAAACAAAATTAAATTTCATACACAACACTTAAACCTACAAAGAAATGTACAAAGGAATCAAACTGTTAAGCAAGCTTTATGCTCTCAGCAGCAAGTGGGGAAACACACCCAAAAAAAAAAAAAAAAACACAAAAAAACAACTACAACAACAAATTATAAGGTTTTTTCAGCTAATTGAAATAAAAGAAGTCTTCTACAAACCAAAAGTGTTTTAACATACTTGATTTTTTAGTCATCAATCTCCATACTGGTATTTCTTTCAGTCATCTTTACATAGGTATGGAATTTATATACTTAATTTAGCATAACTGTTAACAGGACCAAATATAAAGAACAACAAATGGTAATTCTCATTCATATATTTTCAAGACAAGCTATACTTTTTCTTTGCAATCAATCCAAGCACAAAAAAACAAATACAAAATGAAGAGGTATTTGGTAAGAGCAATGAGGAAAACAGAACCCTTGAAGATACTGACCTCATAAATGCAGTACAACTGATTGGAGACGCGAAAAGTGACAATCAACAGAGACACCAAGGTTGTGCATAGATCTTGGATTTGAGAAGCGAAAAGTGAATGAGATAAAAGCTGTATTTTTTTTCACAAATCTCTTCCCTTTTATGACAAAATCCAAGATCCAAACACCACACAATTAAATAATGCCAGATCGAATCCGATTGAGAGGATGATCTTAGCTATTTGATCAGTACATTATAAATTGGATTGTTGAAAAGGAGTTTGCTCTACTGGTTGCAATATTTCAATTGCAGTGATCTTCTCATCTGAGCAGAACTGGACTTACAGACTTGTTATATAGAGAAGCTGACATGGATTTTGTTTTTTGCATTATGCATACTCCGGATTGAGTGCTAAGGCCTCCTGGTAAATCATATCCTTTATCTGCTCTTCGCCCAAGGCTTGTTCAAAATCAAAGGAGAATGGCTCTAGGCAGACTGGTTCATCAGCTGCGTCATGTAATCTTGCAAGGTAAGGATGGGCTAATGCTTCCTCAACTGCAGCCATAAAATGTTTTTTGCATTTAAAAATAAGAAAACTAAGGTTAAAAATCAAAAATAAAGTCACAAATGTGATGTGTAAAACTTTTGAAATGCAATTGAACATTTGAATCCACATGTAAAAGTGTTATATAGACCTTATGACAGTGTTGTAATGAATTTTCATACTGCTTGTAACTAATTTAGTCAACACATATATAATGACAAAGTATATCAAAAAAAAATAGGGCTTCCTAAAAATTTTGAAAACCGATTATGTTGCCCTATGCGAACAAGTCCAAATTATTAATTTGCACAGTACTTTTTGCATTTTCATATTATGACACCTGTAACTTCTCTGTTTGAATATCTGAATCAGGGTTCACATTCTAATTGATAACTGCTATGGAAGGTACCTTTCGTTTTGTTAATTTAAACATCAGTGACAGGTAGCTGATTGCAACTTGTGTATCAACCGCCAAATATAGGCTATGTTTCTGCGCATTGAGTGAAGACTTCCACATACATATATAAGTTTTTAACTTGACCAAGAAAACTGTTCCTCATCTACTTCATTGTGTTGACATTGTCAAGGAGATCAACCACTTTCATATGGTTTATTGTCTTAACTAAAATGCTTTCTAGGATGCTCTTTCACATTACAAGGCAGAATCACTTTGATATCATCATTTCATAGTTCCTCCTAACTCATCCCTCCAACCAAAACTAATAAGTTAATATTATTTGGTAAATCCACTAAAGAAGCACCAAGTCTTATTAACAAATGGTCAATAACAGACTATGAATGCTATTCTTACCCAATGATGTTCATAAATCAACAATTAGCCAAAGATATCCAGAGATGCATATGAACCCTATTCTTACCAAACGTTGTTCACAAATCAACAATCAGCTAAAGATATCCAGAGATGCCAAAGTTACAAAACAGGCCTCATAAAATTGATTGAAAAGAGAAGTAGCTGTAAACATTACACGTACATCACAGAGGGAGAGGTTCATAAATGAACATAATCTATTTATTTCAATGAAACAGAAGTTATAAAACATGCACTCCTAATAAAAGACCCCGACCTGGATGCCCTGAACAAGAGACCAAGTAAAGATCTGCCTTAGTGAGGATGATTTTTTAAATTTAGTTGGTTTTGGGGTAGAATATCCCCCATCCCAAGAGGTATTATGGGACTGTAAATAATTGAATTGAAACCAAATCAAGGTGCACCTATATTCATCAAGCTGATTTCAAGAAATAGGATCCAAAGTCAAGTGCAGTTGTTCATAGAAAAATTGATCCATGCAACAATTCTGAAAATTTAGTTTCACTCAACAAAGAGAGAGAGTTTTCAAAATTAATGGCGTGGCAACCGTAGAGATGCATTTAAACATTCAAACTTCTCCATTTTGCCTTTGTTTTTGGTAGGGGGAAAGGGGAAGGGATGTTGTTAGGACTACTACTCAGGGTGAAACCAATTCGACTCACAACTAACAAACCATGTTTGTTGTGTAAGCTTGTTGAGAGTGGAAACTGAGGCGCATCCTAGGTTGTTGCCTTGGCCAACTCACACTAACATGCACTTGACACCTGTATAAGTTCTGAAGGAAGATCCACTAAAAGAAGCTAATTTCAGTAACTCAATTCTCTAAGCACTTGAGCACTTGATGCTTAGAAATTTGTTCTGAGCATCACTTGTACTTGTCATCCTCAACCCAATTAATAGAAGGTCGGAGCCTTGACCTTCTAACATGTTAAACTAAGTACAAACTGTTCACTGTTTGCTAGGTATATAAAGATACAAACTAACGAAGAAAAAATACAAGCAGAAAACACATCAAAAATTTAGATCAGTCTAACAAACAAATAAATAAAGGCTCAAACATTGAATAATTAATATCAAATCAATTTCTATTTCATGTCAAACTAGCTGACAGGAAAGGGAAATTACCTGTAATTCTTTTAGCAGGATCAAATGTCAACATTTTATCAACAAGATCAACAGCTAATGGATGGACATGTGGGAAAACCTTTGCTAACTGCTGCCGAGGATGTTGGGGTAGTTGACAGATATAGCTTCTTGCATCTATGCTCCGAATGAACCCAATATCTGATTCGGTGCGTGTGCCAAGAAGCTAAGAAAAGTAAAAGAATGTGTAAGCACTGAGCGTTCGTCCAGTGAAGACTGAAGAGCAATACTGAGAAATAAATTCTTAATTCAATCAATCCTATGATCATGTAAGAGAAACGGCTACTATAGAACTATTACTGTAGTGATACTTTACTAGGCAAAACATTTCTTGTAATATAAATCAATTAGAAGCAAATAATGAACTTTTTTTTTATATAGGTAAGGTAAGGAGACTCAAACTGGAGTATCTTTATTGGGAGAATGCAACGTAATCTTGTTGGGGCGTCTCATAGGGAGCACAGATAATGGAAACATTTAAGCCTAATCAACAATATATTTGCTCTTCTAAAATTACATCCTGCATTTAATCATGTTCCATGTTTGAAAAAACGGTTAAGAACATAATTAGCTAGATCTAAATTTCATCTTACCTCTATCAATAAGCGCAGCTGATGCACATGGTCTTTACCCGCAAGTAAAGGCTTTCTGTTCATAAGCTCCATAAAGATGCAACCCACGGACCACACATCAATAGCAGCAGTGTAGTCTGAAGAGTTTAACAAAAGCTCAGGTGCCCTGTACCATCTGGTGACAACATATTCGGTCATGAACTGAGTCTCTGAAGTTGGTCGAGCAAGACCAAAATCACAGATCTTCAAATCACAATTTGCGTTCACCAAGAGGTTGCTGGGTTTCAAATCTCTATGAATAACATTTGCAGAATGTATATATTTCAGTCCTCGAAGGATTTGATACAAGTACTGCAAGGAGATCAATTACAAAATGTCAGCGTTCTTTATTTCCTTAATAGAAAAAAAAATAATAATCAAACTAATAAAATTTATGAACGTTGAATTGTTAAAGTATCCAAGAAGTCAAGAGTGAAATGTATTACCTGACAGTGTTCCTCTGATAAACTTTGTTTAGATCGAATTATTTGGTGAAGATCAGTGTCCATGAGTTCTGTGGCAATGTAGACATCAGAAAGTTCTCTCTGTAATGGTGGAGGAACTACATCTCTTATACCTGTTACCTGTTTTAAACAGCCAAAAATCAATAATATCGATCACAATTAAAAGTACTTAGACTTCTTTTGCAAAATTGTAGCTTGTGGTGACAAAAAGTTCTTTTTTTTTTTTTTTTTTTTTCTTTTTTTTTTTTTTTGTTGGTAAAAAGATAGTATGAAAGGAAGAACAAGTTCATTGTTCAATCTTTCCAAATTCCCAAATCAAAAGGGCTAGTCCGTTGGTAAATTTTTTTGCATTTCACTATGAAGTTATATGTTCAAATATCTCAATCTATTTGTTGGTTGTATTATTTATATATTTATTTGTGATTTTTCTCTCATTTTTTGTATTTGCTAATGTTGTATTGATTTTCATCATTAATTAACAAATACAAATCCTTGCAATTTGTCACTCTAAATGTTTAATTTTGCTAAAATATTTTTCTTACAAATTCGATAGTGTTTTTCTCTATTTTCTTTCTTTTCTCTCTTCTACTCTTTATTTCTCTTTTTTATGTGTATTGTGTAATTTTTTCATTCACATTTTTAATAGTGGCATGCAACTGCCTTTTAAATTATAATAGTCATCACATTCACAAAAGTAAAATAGAAAACCGAATTAATAATAAATAAACAACAGAAAATCAACAAAACAAAGGAAAAAAAAGTTGACTAACTCGATCATAACTCTAGATATATAAACGTATTGCTCATCTTTTGGTTGTTTTTATCACTAATTAAAAATCAAAGTTAGTTGCATTGTGACTTCAACACAATATTGTCCCCCCAACCTGAAATTTTGACTACGACACTATCAAAAAGCATTATTTGATTTTAACTGAGAACCAACTCATAAATTGGTTTGCTACTCGCAAGTAGGCTAAATAACGGATTTGGCCACCCTAAAGTGGGCTTAGAAAACATGGTGATTTGCCACTCTCAAGTGGGCTTAAAACTTGCAATCAATGAATTGTTCTAATACAGGTAATCCAGCCTTCACCCATAGACATTCAGGCAATTATATCACATAAGCAAATAGCCTCATGGCAAGCATGCTATCATGGCAGTCACTCACACACATGCAAGGATGCTAAAGCATAAACACTCACCGAGTACTCTAAGCCAAAACAGAAGATAGTTAGTAATCATGCATGATCTTAGCCATGTCAAGAATGCCTAATGCAATACATGCAAACTGCAACTAAAATAGGCTCGGCTATTCTAAAATGTCATGTGAGATGCAACTTGATACATGTATTCAAACAGGAATTAAAATACAATGCAGTTAGTATGATCCGCTGAGCCCGGTGCATGCAAGACAAATGAATAAATGCGAACATGCGAGTATAAGGATGCTAATTGAAACATACCCTAAAACTAACCATCGTAAGCTAGTAAATAAAAGGGAGAAAGAAATGGGGGTTGGAAGACATGCATCACACACACGCACACTTATTACAACAGTTGGCCCTCTCGACGGAGGGTCCGAATAAATAATACAGAACCGATTAATTAACTAACTACTCTAGCTAATTAATTATTACACAACTCAAATTGAAACAAATATACCTTCTAAACTATCAAAAGTACTGAAATGGCCTTATGCCGAGGGATGCATGCATGCTCGAACCGCTTCGCTCGGAAAACTATCGCGATGCCCTAACTTGCCTCTGTTTGCAATTATTCTCAGAAGCTTACACCAAGCTCCAGAAGGCTTAAACTCCACCTTGGGAACCTATAGGAGGGCTGCCGACCAGTTGTTGGAATTGGAGACCACCTGCCGACCACTTTTTGTGCTGAAAACCAGAAAAAAAGTGGTTGGCCAGCCACTTTACCTAGTCGGCCGACCAGCTTCTGCTGCCAAACTTCAATTTGCTGCAACAGAGAGCAAGAAAGGGCATGGCAACATATTTGCAAAATATGTGTGCACAACCACCCTCCCTATCATTTCATAAGCTCAAGGGAGTGTGGTTCTCGACCCTCGGGCCATCAATCACGCATTTCAATGCATGATGGCTGAGAAGCGAAGTTGCACAATTCAATATGGAAATGAATGCACAAGTAAACACATAAAGCCTAAAACTCTACCATGTATGATCAAGAGCGTCAGCGACCGAGAATTGAGGCGCGTTTCATCACTTCAAGTATGAAACGTCCCTCGTTTCCCGTGTTTGGACTAACACCTATTCCAAACACAAATGCAAAGCAAGTATGGCATACCCAATGCGACTCAAGCATGCAACTCGATGTAATATAACTAAACAAGCATGCGAACAACATGCAAGGGATAAGCATGCAAACATGCAATGCAATGTAACTTAGCATACTGAATGCTAATGGCATGCACAATGCATAGTGCTAAGAACCATATGGCCCACTCAATGCAATGTGACATGATTAACTTAACAAAGCTAATGACATGCAAATTATGCTAATGCATGCATACTCAATGCAAGACAACATAAGCATGCAACAATATGAACAACAACTAGCATACACAATGCGAATGGACAACCACATGGCATACTCAATGCACAATGGACTTAAACCAAAATGGATAGGCCTCAGCCATGTCCAAATCAGTGGCCATACATGCTAAGATAGAAACTCAAAATGCTATACAAACATGCATGCATATTGGCCCAAGCTCAAGGCACAAAATACAACTCTCCAAAGGCATTGAAAGGATGAAACATGGAGTACAATGGCATATGTTCCAGCACTGAAATGACATGCAAAATGACTTAGAATCGTGTAAACAACCCATATAATGCATGTTGAAAGGCTTAAGTATCGAAGCTAGTGAAGTGTATTACACTAGAGGCGTGCAAGACAATGCTCAAATGGCCAAACCAGCCCCAAACAGACCTTATGCAGGCCAAAACAGTAGCCAAAATGGATTGGGATGATGGCTTGAAAGGCAAGAAAATGAGGCTCATGCAATGACTCACAAACAAGGCATAAAGGTGCAACTCTCAAACACATTGAAGGAGTGATAAACACCAAAATATGGCAAAGATATAAGCTCTGAAATATCATTCCAAATGATGCTAAATCATGCAAATAGCCCAAGCAATGCATGCTAGTGGCTTGGAAACTCAAGGCTAGTGAACTAAAATGCACTATGGCTATACAAATCATGGCATGCATGACCAAAGCAACATAAATTAGACCTTAAGCATGCTAGAACATGAACAAAGTCTTCTCAGAGCTAAGCCATAAGCATGCTAAAATGACATGTCGAAGCATGATGCATGTTAGGCTATCTCATGGAAATGCACTACAAGTGCATGGAGCATGCCTGGGGCTATCAAACCAACCCAAAACAGAGTTATGACATGTCAAATGATAGCCAAAAATCCACTGAAATGGAGCCAATACAAGCTAGAAAGACATGCTACTTTGATGAGCCACAAATGGGATTACACTACACATACAAGAAGCATGCAAAAAGTGACCAAACCAGCCATGGACAGAGTCAAGGCAGGCCCTAGAAGTCACAAAAAAGTGTCTGAACTAAGCCTCAAAATGGTAGAAACACATGTTCCTTTGATAGGCCAATAATGCAAGCAAACAGAACAAGAAGATAGGGGATCACCCCCCTCTGATTCGAGGCCTCAAAACCACATGCCTACCACTAAAAATCCACTAGATTTCAGTGGTTAAAAGTCCAATCAAAAAATAATTCAAAGGCCTCAAGGCATGACACAAAACAAGGCCAAACAAGGCATAAAAGGGGGTAGAACACCCCCCAACACCCAAGGAGCCTCAAACAAACATGTTAAGTACTAAAAAATAAAGCTTTTTTTAGTTTAAAGTTAAGCCAAGAGAAGCATGCAAATATGGATAAGAGAGTGATCAAAATAGAGCTAAAAGGGGGAAAAAAAAGGTTACCCTTGAAGCACTGCAATACCAGCAAATTTTCTGAGCCAAAACCAACTCTTGAGCTCCCTCAAGACCCTCCAGCAACTCAGCAACAAGGTAAGAGTGTTTGGCTATGAGGTTGTGTGTACAAGTGTGAAGCAAAACACCAATATAGAGAGAGAAAGAGAGGAATATAGAGAGAGTGTAAGCCTATGCTCTCCACCAAAATCAGCCTGGAGAAGGGAGGAGAAGCCTCTCTCTTATAGAAAAACATAAGCTAAAGCTTCTTGGAGAAGCTTAGGGCTTGGATAAATCCCTCTATACACGTGTATGGAGGATACAGTCTGTGCCCTCCAGTTGGCACAGCTAGTATCCATAACACCTGTAGAATATGCAGGAAGGCCGCCGACCAGTTAAAGTGGTCAGCTGACTACTCGGCCGACCACTTTTCATGAGAAAGTGGTCGACCAGCCACTTTTTCTGGTTTTTTAGGGCAAAGAGTGGTCCCCCAAAAATAAAAGTGGTCGTCTAATGGATGGAATGGCCAAAAAGTGGTCGTCCAGTGTCCTAATTGAAGCCCCAGAAGTTAGCTTTCCAATGGCACTAGCCTTGCATCAAAATTCCAACTCTGCAAAAAGTTATGCCTGTTTTGGTGAAGCCGCGCAGTTTCGGTCCAACCAAATTGATGCCTTACTTCAACCAACCATATCTTCCCCATCCGGACTTGGCTTTAGGAGATTCTTAAGTGAAAAATGAAGCCCCAGAAGTAAGATTTCGAACGGTGGTTCCCTCATAGCTAAAATCCAAGTGTATAGACAGATAGCCATGATTTAGCGAGGATCGCTCGGCTCTCTCTCTCTTGGCGATTCATACCCACCTTCTTCTTCAACTTGGTTTCTTCCCTCTTCTCCAATTTTCCTCAAATCCAAACCCCTAAATAAGGTGTTTTCAAAGATTTTTCAAAGATTTCAACTCTCTTTCATTCGTTTCCACTTTGTCCTTGCTCGGTTTACCAAAAAGCACAACATTTAACGAAATGCGAACGTCGGAACATCGTAGGAACTTTATTTTCAAAACATTTTGAAAAAGAGGGTTTCAAGGTCTAAAATCTTTTGATCAAGATTGTTTTGGTCCAAAAGGGGTATGAAGTTGAGATTTGACTC